TCAAGTTCTAGTGGGATACTCAATTTTTAATTGAATACATACGCACATATATATATATATATATATATATATATATATATATATACATATGTACATAACAACCATCTGTTACACGGTATTTAAAATCATTTGTTCTTAGATCCAGAAATTCCAACAACTTATACAGGTGTCCCCAATACGGAACTTGGTCACTGTGAAAAAACATTGAAAATTTTGAAGTTAGCTTTTCAAGAGATCAACGAACTCAATATGAGATTGGAAAATGCAGAACCAGAACTAGAGAAACGTATCAATTGGCTCGTTTTGGCCGACGATGATACACTGTTGAGGTTTGTTAAGGCACATTTTTCTGAGTTTTTTTACATTTGGGTGGGACGCTCAAGTCGACCTTTGTAATAACCATCCTTTATTAACTGAAATTTTTTAGAAATTTTCGCTACTACTATACAAGACTTATCGCTATTCATCTTTTTTTGTCATTTCGCTTATTTTTTAGTATTCCTAACCTTTGTGAGTTGCTTGGTTGCTTTAATCATAAACACGACATTTATCTTGGCGAGCGGTACGGGTTTCATATCAATAGCGGTTTTAATTATATAACCAGCGGTGGAGGCGTAGCTTTAAGTTTATCCGCTGTAGAAAAACTAATCGCATATTGCCATTGCAGCCGTCCTCAGGATGCCGATGATATGTTGTTGGGAATATGCTTCAGTAATCTGGAAGTGCCAGTCATAAACTCTGCACAATTTCATCAGGTATGTTCAAATAGCTAAAAATAAAAAAACGCATATTTTTAAATATACCTATGCAAGTACATCTGTAGAAATATTCGAGAAATCAATAAACACTTTTTTCTAGCTTCGTCCGCAGGACTATCCAGTAGAGTTACTATCTCTTGATCCACCAATATCATTTCATAAGTTCTACGATGTGGATCCACTCGCTGTCTATGAGCAATATTTCTCTGTTGCTGATCGGCGGATGCTGCAAAAAATAAATGACAGTGATTTGAAATAACTGATTAGAAATAATAAATATTATTACATGTAGTCCCTCTGTTTGTTGTTAGTTGGATATGGTAAAGAAAGTTTCCCTTAGTAACGAAAATTTAATATGTCATAATATTATCACTGGCTCATATCTGTGGTCTTTGTTGTTTTGTCAAAAGTCCACAGATATGTAAATGTAAATCGACTATTAGAATATATATTCTCGCTTCTATCTGCGAATTATCTTTCCATTTTCGTTTACGAAAATAACAATCTGGTATCATTACGTTAAATGGAGTTCTTGTAAGTGTTCCCACAACTAACCCTTAATAAAGGCAATACAAAATGTTTTTGTAACCTACTGGCAACATTTAATATTTTTAACTAAATTTTGTGCTCTCTTTATTTCTTAAAAATGACCGGTAAGTTAAAGAATTATAACTTTAATAAATACACACTTTTGCAATAGGAAACATTACTATATAAAATATTTTTTCTTAAAAAATGCTTAAGGCGAAACATTTTATTGCACATTACTAATATTTCCTGCAGTAATAAAAGGTTCAGCTAGAAATTGTTTAAAGGTGAAATTTTATTTTAAATTGATGTTAGTAATATGTAATATGTTAGAGGAAACCCTTAAATTCAGGCTTCCGCCGGAAGCATTGCTTTCAAAGTATAATAAAATCTAAAGGTGCTGGCCCAATGTAGGTTTTCTTTGCTCGCCTTACTGACTTTAGTTTGCATTGATTTATTTTATAATTTTGTTTGGCCAAATGTAGCTCGGAACGCTGTCAAAGCAATCAGCTGTGTGGTTGCAAAGCCAAAGTCTCTTCCGTTAACATTAAAGGTTTGATTAGTGGTAACATAACCACAACCATGCTGTTCCAACCAACCTTATGGCAACACTGTATTCGATTAGTGGTGCCACACCAGTGATCGGACTTCTACCACATTGTGGTAGATCTGCCACTTATTTGAGCATCTACCACATCTACCACACAAGGTCGCGAATATGTGGTAGATTCGCGTTTTTGAATAGTTTTATTTTTGATCGACATATACCTTGTTTATATGGCATAAAACGCGGAATCGAATTAACTCGTGTCAGCGTAGCTCGCTTGAAATGCAAGTGTTTATATGCAACACAAATGAGTCGATCGAACACCGATGCAACCCTGTTAATACATGTGTCAATTCTTGAACATAATGAACATTGAAAAATAGTAATTAAAGGCGCAAACAGCCTTGTAAAAATTATCTTAGGTAATAATTTTATAACAAAGCTTAGCATAAATGTAATTTCAAGAACTATTTAAATGGTTTACTTTATACAGAGTTGCACGAAATAACCGTGTGGACAAATTCCGTGTTTATATGCACTCTTAAAACGATTCAACAACACTTAGCTCGCATTCAAAATGTGATTTATGGTGGCACGGTTAAAAGTTTCAACTCGATTAGAGAATGTATTAACATGTGTGTGTCCATATAACATGGTTTGACTTAGACCGAATTGAAGCATGACATAAACGTGGTAATAGTTTTCTTAATTTTAAGAGCCAAAATTGTCCAACACTAAACACTTAAAATGAAGCCGAATGGCAGGATAAAATAAACTGTAAAATAGTAAATTTTCTCAATAATCAACTTTTCGTCAGGAAACGTGGTTTTATTGTATTAAATTGCAAAATATATGATTTGTAAAATGAATTAATAGCGAAAATGGTAAAAAACGGCGATTTTTGTGAAAGTATTAGCAAATTTCAGTGCATCTAAAGTTTCTAAGGCGTTGTTCACTTTTACTTTAGAATTGTCTAAACCGGCAAATCCCAAGTAGCGGTTTATGGAAAGTGCCACATTTGTTCGCTACATCGTGATGTGATAAAAAGAAAACCTGGCAGCACTCCGCAAGGTTGCATAAATCTCTCAAAATATGGTCGAAAAATATCTTTATATGGAAGGAAAAAAATTGCCAAAACTCAACGCAATTATTAGCAACTTCAATCTTGCACTTTATTATACTAAAATTAAATTTTTTTTGTAGATTCTAATTAAAATGTGGACGAACGTCTAGCCACAATCCGCATCAAAGCTAGATTCTTCAATATCTCGCTCATCTGCGCCCATGCCCCGACGGAAGAGAAGGATGAGGCATCCAAGGATCTCTTCTGTGAGCGCTTGGAACGTACATAAAAGCGATGCCCCCGCACGATGACAAAATCGTGCTTGGGGAGTTTAATGCCAAAGTGGGCAAGGTAGGAATCTTTGGCGCCACTGTCGGAAAATTCAGCCTTCACGACGAAATGTCCGATAACGGACTGAGGCTGATCGACTTGGTCGGGGCCCGAAACATGGTAATATGTAGTACTAGGTTCCAGCGTAAGAATACCCACCAAGCTACATCACTGTCTCCAGATCGAAAAACGAGAAACCAAATCAATCATGCTGTGATAGACGGAAGGCATACTTCCAGCGTTTTATTTATTTATTTATTTATTTATTTATTCAATAGTAATCTAGCTCAATAAAGTTGCTTACAGACTACATGGAGATAAAATACATCATACAATAAATCTAGCTTCATTTAACAATAGTTTGAAAGCGGGCTTAGACATAGAAAAATCTATGGCTAAAGAATTTGAGAGAACATTGAATTCCTTCAAAGCTCTAAAGATTGGAGCATTAGAAGCATAGAGAGTACGGACACGTTCAGTATAAAAAATATCTGAATTACGAAGGGTTCTGTTAGGAATATGGAAGCAAATGCATTCGAGTAAATACGGAGAATCAATCACGCCATTAATTATGTCAAAGACAAAGGTGAGCGAGAGAATTGTTCTCCTGCATTGAAGAGATTTCAAATTTATTAGCGCACATCTAGCTCTATATGGCGGAATTGGCTCGTCGAAATTCAATGATCGGAGCGCAAAGCGTAAAAACGTTTTTTGAACCCGCTCGAGCCTATTAATGTGGCACTCATAATAAGGTCTCCAAATAAAGCAAGCATATTCCAGCTTGGAACGTACAAGCGACGTGAACAACAGCTTTAACGTGTAGGGATCCGTGAAATCAGAGCTAAAACGGCGAATAAAAGCAAGCACTGAGTACGATTTGGCAATGGTGTAATTTAAGTGACTATGAAATAAAAATTTCGAGTCAAAGACTACACCTAAGTCAGTTAACTCATTACGAGTCGATAGTCGAGTACCATCAATATAGTATGAAGTAGGGGTTATACAATGAAGTTTGGAGAATGATAGCAAATGTTTCCGCTTATATTAAGCTGTAAGCCGTTGGTACGACACCAAGCTGAGACATTATCCAAGTCAAACTGAATCTTGACGGAATCAGAGGAGTTTGCAATGGTGGAGAAGATCTTCAAATCATCAGCATATAAAAGAAATTTGGAATGCATAAAACACGACGATATGTCATTGATGAAAATGACAAAAAGCAAAGGGCCTAAAATGCTACCTTGTGGAACTCCAGAAGAAGCAATAAATGAGTTTGATAGCGCGTTGTCAACAACGACTACACATTTGCGATGATGCAGGTAGGATTTTAACCAACATAAAAATGTTGAGTGAAAACCTAAACTTGCTAATTTGGAAATCAAAAGTGAATGATCTACTCTATCGAAAGCTTTTGTGAAGTCGGCATATATAGTATCGACTTGAAGACGGTTGCTAAAAGCCGACATGCAATACTCAGAAAAAGTTGCTAAGTTAGTTACAGTAGATCTTCCGGACATAAAACCGTGCTGGTTATTGGAGATGAAATGCTTAACTGTAAAATATAACTTCTGCTTTACTATATATTCAAATAGCTTTGATACAGTTGATAACTTGGCAATGGGCCTGTAGTTGGCAACATCGTTTTTGTTACCACTTTTAAAAAGAGGGCTGATGAAGGTTTCCTTCCAGGCATCGATAAACTCGCCACACTCAAGTGATTTATTGAAAATTATTAAAAGTGGAGCCGCAAAAGCCAAACAGTTTTTAAGAAGTAAAGACGACAGGCCGTCAACATCAGTCTGCGAGGATGCTTTGATGTTCAAAATGCCCTCAACTACATCATCAAGAGATAAAGAGAGCTCTCCAAAATTAATAGGAGAATCTACAGTTGAAAAGCAACTCCTACAAGTTTCTGACTGTGTTACAAAATTTGCGCGGAAAAAATTAGCAAAAAGGTTGGCTGCCTCAGGTGGTGATGAAGCATGTGCCCCATTAAAAAAAACTTCTGACGGAATACTAGAGCAGGTTTTTTTCGAATTGACATAGTTCCAAAAAGATTTTGGATTTACTTTAATATCTGATTCGAACTTACGAACGTATCTCCTCTGAAGATTTTTACCAAGCTGTTTGAACTCTCTAGAATAGTGAAGGTATTTGTCTCTATAAGCAGATGCTTTAGTGGATTTAAATTTTTTGTAGTACTTATTCCTCAAATTCTTTAGCTTCTTAAGTTCCTCTGTATACCAAGGAATCCTATAACATTTCTTTTTTCTTAGCGGTATATTATTCAAACAAATTTCATTAACTTTATTTTTAAAAACAGAATAAGAGTCAGCAACGTGAACTCTAGAAAGTAATGCATCCCAGTCTACATAAGAAATTTCTTGATTGACAACATCAAAATTGCAACGATTAAAACTGAAACTAGGAGCTTGATTATCCGTACAAATACTCTCATAGTTATAGAATTGAAGATCAAGAATAAGTGGAACGTGATGTAAACCGGGACACGAAACCGGATCAAGACACTTATTTAAAACAAAATTCATATTGTCGTTAATAAAAATTAGATCTAAAGTTCTAGCTAACTTATTAGAGAAGCTATTTATCTGAGCAAAATTAACGCTTAACAAATTATCAATAACATATGATTCCGAGAAACTGTTCACATTTTTTGGAAGTAAAGTGTCACCTATAAATGACCATTCCACATTCCGTAAATTAAAATCTCCGAGAATACAGAAATTAACACCATCGTGACTGCGAGCTATATCGACTATGTTGTCCACATGCGCTTTATAAAGTGAGTCCGCGCTAGACGGAGGAATGTATGAAGCGCAGATAAGTAATTTGGAGATGCCTTGTATCGAGACACAGAGTTGGTCTAAAAGGGAATCCGTATTGCTCAGACTCACAAACGATGAGCGAAACCGGCGGTGAACTGCAATGAGAACTCCTCCTCCTCTCGAGAGACCAGTTTTAGAATAGTCACGATCTTTGCGATATACAGTATACAAGTTGGAGTCAAAGAATTCACCGTCATTAAATTCCGAGGTCAACCATGTTTCAATAAGGACAAAGATATCATAATCCGTATGCGAGCTCATATTCAAAAGTGCGTTTGATTTTGTTCGCAGGCCGGAAACATTTTGAAAATAGATCTTGAGATGCTTCAAATGAAAATTTGCTGGAGCAAGAGCATCTAGGGATTTAGTTCTGGTGCATCGCCCTTTGGAAAAAAACCGAAATGGTCGAATCTTAACGTTCGCAGGCCAGATATCAGCATTCAACAATTTATCATAGAAACACTCAGAAACTCCTAATTTAAAATTAACTTTTCTCAATTCATCAAGATTAGCATCCTTTTTTATAAGCAAGTAGCAGTTCAGAAATTTGGCATCAATATCAGCATGTTTGGATACGTAACTGATGATGTTCGCTGCTGTGACATTAGTAGAAAATGAGGCCACATGGAGCCACTTCTGTTGAGAAATAACACTTAATTCCTGGTTATTATTAGAACCAATAATTAAAGGCTTCGTAAGCTTTGGACGACGGCTATTAGACACCGTTTTCCATTCATTAGGATGCTGCGTAGAAGCAGGTGCTGGATTAACAGTGTTCGTATTCATCGGAACAGACTGTGTGGGAGTAGTACTAGTACCAAGTGAAGGCGTTGTCTTGGTAGAGCCATTACATAAATTAGGAGAAGCAGCTTGCTGGGTACATGACAAAAGAGAGGATGATGGCCCAAGCGTTGACACAGAAGCAGATGACAAAGCAATAGTTGAATTAATGAGAGCAGCACTATATGTAGGTGCTGATCGCATAACATCATGAGTAGCAGCAGCAGCCGACGGCTGAACCATGGATGTATTAGTGAGAGTAGCACTGCTGGTGACAGTTGATTGCGAAGCGTCACAGACAGGAACGAATGGAGAGGCAGCAGACGACGAAAAATTTTGTTCAGCAACGCACGTGCGGCCAGCAGCAGCGATGTCAGTTTCACCAACACCTTTTGGTGATTTGTTAACACAGCTAAGCTTATCAAAAGCAGTTGTCACACAGGAGCGTAGGTCATTCAACTCAGACTTAAGAGAAGCAATCACATCATCCCGCGCATGCAGCGCGCGCTGCATAGAAATAAGATCAGAGTGCATGCTATCTATTTTGTGTGCTAGGTTTTGATTTTCCTCACGCTGAGCAGCGACAGAATTCAGCATACGTACATTGTCGGAACGAAGAGAGACGATAATCTTGTACAGAGAACTCAACGTTATTTGTTGTTGCTGATTTTTAGCTTCACTTTGATTGTTGGCAGATTGTTTTTCCGAATTTGTTGACTTCGAGTTAGCACCTTTGAGCGAGTCGGAATCTTTCGCAATTTGAAGAAACGGAGCAGATTTTTCATTCGATTTTGGTACTTGACCAGCAATTGCATTCTTGTTGCACTGAGAAACAAAATTGTTGGGAGAATTAAACGATTCGCCCGTGCAAGCAACGACGACACTATCTTTTAAAACCGTGATAGGAGGCGGCGTACAAAGGGATTTGCGGCGATCAACAGCGCATTCTTTGCAGTGGAAAGGCTTGTCTGTATTACGCAGAAACTCAGCGTCGGCTGGTAGAATATTTACACAAGACAGATGAAAAAAATCATTGCAATTAACACATTGAATTTTATGCTGCTGCGATCGCTCGACTTTTTGCCCACATAGACACGGCATTTTTTTAATTAGAACTAATAGATTTGATAAGAGTCACTATCTCACGAACTTCAAATCACAAAGTTTACAAAGCCATAGGCATAAAAAAGTAAACAGCTTAACAGTTTTAGCACACAGAGAGCGATCAAAAACACGTCCGCACGTAACGAAAGTGAATATTACTACTATTAGACGTACGTACACTCCGAGGGCCACACATCGACTCGGACCACTATCTTGTTGTAGCCAAGATGCGGGCCCGCCTCTGTGCAGCAAAAAATGTGCGCCCAACAATGCAAGGAAAGCTTAACCTCGAAAAGCTGCAATCACAACAGACGGCCAATTTATTCGCCACTCGA